AGGGAGCCCGATGCGGGGCTCGATCCCAGGACCCTGGGATCATGACCTGAGCCGAAGGCAGACGCTTAACGACTGAGCCACCCAGGCGCCCTATCATGACCTGTTCTTCTAAGGACACCAGTCACATTGGTTAGGGGCCTGCTCTACACCAGGATGACCTCACCTTAACTTCACGAATTGCATCCTAACGACCTCCTATGGGGGTATGATTCCATTTTTGTCCAGCGCACCAGAATGGGCTCTGCGGCTCCTTTTAAGGAGTCAGCCGGTGGGATCCTTAGGGAACGTGTTCTGTGCGTTCTCTGAGCACCCCGCCAGCCGGTGCTCACCCCGTGTGACCCCGTCCCCCCAGTGTGAGCATGGTGGGGGGAGGGCAAGCCGCCACCAGACCCAATGAGATCCCCGCCTCGCTAGCAGACTCTAGCGCCTCTCTCCCCCACGTCGGGTTTATGAATACTGGCATCGTTTCTCTGTTCCATTTTATAATTATTTATTGCTGATGACAGCATGCTGTTGATTTTTTTGCAGTGTTAATATTATTCCCAAAAACCTATTATTTCTCTGTAAATGTTCTCAGATTTGGTACGTACAAAATTTTATCATCCGCAGAGAACGAAGCTTTGTTTTCCTTTCTAGTTTCTATTTCTCCTTCCTTCCTGCTGTGCCGGCCAGGACGCCCTATTCACTGATGAATCATGGGGATTAAAGTGCCCTTATATTATCTTTCACCTTCATGGAAATGCTTTTATTTTATTTTTTTAAGAATTCTATTTTTTTAAAGACTTATTTATTTATTTATTTGACAGAGAGAGAGAGAGACAGCGAGAGAGGGAACACAAGCGGGGCGGGAGGGGGGTGGAGAACAGGGAGTGGGTGGGGACGAGATCTATAAAGTGACAGGCTTTTGTTATTTCCGTTTTTGCATTTTGTCACCAGCCTAGTAAGTCTAACAAAACCATCAGCAAATTTAACGTCAAAACAAAGCATTTGCTTGAAAGAGGTAACAGATTGGAGTAAGGTTATAAATACCTGTGAGTAAATGCAAGTAATTTCCAGGTATGAAAATTTAAAACCTTTCTCTTTGACAGCAGAGTTAGATTCAGGGCACATTTAAGACCCAACCAAACTAAGAATACAGAATATAAGGTCTTCAATAAATACTTAACCTTCAGGATAGAAGGGCAAACCAAATTTTAAACAAGACACTATTTTAATTGGACACCGTGCCTTAAAGACCAACACCATTCAGATAACCTGTTTTCCAACACTGTACAAGTCTTTTATAAAAAAAAAAAAAAGTTGTCTTCTCATCCTCACTTGAACAACTAAGAAACTGCCTTCTGCTCTAACCAATCAGTAAATACGCTGAAGCACACACTGACTTTAGATCTAGTCTATGTGCTATATATTTAATTGCCACTTTAAGAATCTCAACCGTGTTACTTCCCATGGCTATTTCCAGGTTGTCTGTTATACTCAGATGCTGCCTGTCCAGGAACCCAATTCCTGCCTTGCTGGTAGTCCCTCTTCCTAAAAAAGTAATCCTCCCTAAACATTCTGGCACCACCGCCCATTCTTGGAAGAGTGCTATGCAGGGGGAGCTATGGTTCCTACTGGTGCACCCCAGTGCATTACCAGAGGGGTACATCCATTCGAAAGATGCTTGACAAGCTCTAGTGGGTAGCAATCACGAAAACCACTTTTTTTCTGGAAAATGTGTGACCATGGCCAATAGGGTTTTCTTCCCCGGACAAGAGTTAGAAGAGGAAAAAAGGAATCCACACCAATTAACTTTATTTCAGGTTACCTTTATCCACAACTGTGGATCCTCAGAATCTGCCTTCTGACAAGCACCCAATTGATTCTGGTCAACTTCTACTCCAGTAGAACACCAGGTGGTGTTCTGGTTTTAAGAGGGAGACTAAAATATGTTTATCTTCACTTCCTCCGTCGTAGTCATGGCATTCAACATTTACTTAACATCTACCACGTGCCAAGCACTGTTCTGTAAGCCCTAGGGTTCAGGCAGTCACCCAAGAAAATCCCTGCCCCCATGGAGCTTACATTCTAGTGGAGGGTGACTGACAGAACCAAAGATACAAAAATAGCAAAGCAATCTGGAAATGAGGTAGTCCATTATTAAAAATAAAAGATTCCTGGTTATAATAAACTAAATGTGGATTTTGAACCGTATCTTAATCCCATTTTAATGAAAATGCTCAAAGGCAGTATTGAGCACCGCAGCATCTGCCCAGCATTCTACCGGAAGTGTAGATACATTAATAGATACATACGTTAAAGGAAACTGAAAAGAAATCAGGGTCAGTAAATAAGACAAAGGTGTTGGTAGTATTTTATTTTCAATGACCTGCTAAGTCTCCTAGTCTTCCTGGTAACACGTGCATGTGGTCTTAAACCAAATAACATGAAATATCAGCACTGAAGCCCTGATCACCAGGGTTTGCTACATCTGCCCGGGACCATCTGTTCTCATGTCAACACTCTTCCGAATCAAGGACCTCTGCCCCCTTCATTATCCTAGTCACCACCCCTTTCCCAGTCCAAATCCTCATTAAACAGATACCCAAGGCTGAGCGGGGCCATAGGCTAAAATATAACCTAGCCAAAGGAAACTAATTAACAATGTTTTTTACAAGTTTAGTTTTTTCCAAAAAGAAGCAAGCTAAGATTACTAAATGGGCATTCTCAATTTTGTTTAGCTATGTTAAGATTTATGAATTAGCTTCACTTCTGTGAGCAAAAGTAATCATATAAACCACATACCAAACAATTCAACTCACAACTCTTAACCAGTAAAATGAACTATGAAAATCTAAAACATATACAATGTTAGTATCAACTCTCAGAACAGGCAGAGTTGCATATGGCCACGTACTTCATGCCCACTTTGTCCAGATGGTTTTGGACTTTTCTTCATTGGTATACCAAAACCCAAGGAAGAAAGATGGAAGAACAGGAAAAAAAAATCACAGTTGGGCAAGTTATGGTATCGACTGGTTGTTTATAGCAAAACCTGGTTTACCTCGAAAATGCAATTCTCCAGTATCACCTGGGAACTAGGCTCTTTGCAAATGCCCAATAGTTCCCCAGAACGAAGCAGAGTCAAAACAGGAGATCTGCAGGCGAGCTGAGTCCAGCTGCCAAGACCAACTGGACAGCTCCACCACGTGAGGTTCCTTTCCAACATGCCGCTTGCCTGCCTCTCCACTAGCAGCCAGCAGACAGCACTCCAGCTCCATTTGTCTGGCAGACTTTCCAAGCTGACTTCAAAATACTAGAATATGGGGATCATTTCCCAGAGGAACACTTCAGAGAAACAATGGTTAGTGAATCGCAAAAAACACAACAATTTGGAAAGTTAAAATTTAGCATCTGTATTAGAACTGAGTTAGAACATTAAGGAAGTCATTTGACACATACCTTTTGTTAACTGTTACTCTCATTGACATCCTTGTTTAAAAACCAAACTGGGAATGCTATGTGGATTAAGCTCTCTCTTCCCTCAAATAAAATCCTAACTAGATCAAAAAGTCAATTACCATTAGTGCCCTGACTCTTTTGCCCAAGATTACAAAACCCCCCCCCAACTATATATACTTCCCCGCCCCTCCTCTATTTCCTAGATATAAACTGAACTTCCTTCACATTTAGGCCATTTAAAAACCAAGTCATTCTTGCCCCCAAAAGAGATATTTACACAAAGTACCTTGGGAATTAGTTTCCAGCCTCTGTACTAATTGTCAAAGTAGATCCATTTAAGTAGACTGGAGCCCACATTTCATATTAACCTGTACTAATTAACACATTTGTTTGAAGTTGTAATTATTCACATAATTTCGTTTCAAAATAGAATAGATGGCAATCTAATTCAATAGTAACCTACTTGGACATGGTAAGTAGGACACTTTATTCCTACACATAGAATTCGTATTTAACAAAACCTGCTCACTTGGACCACTTAACAGAAGGCTTACATAAACTAAAGTCTAAATCATTTTCGCATCTTTCCAATGCATACTAAAAATGCAATTTCGACGTTCAAAATGTATTAAGTAGGAGTCCAAATGCTGATCTTTAACAAACAGGAAGATTTAATTTGGGCATGCCGCCTAGAAAAGTGTCTATAGATAAATTCTTTTCCTGTTTTTTTCTATTTGTTGAGTGCAAACTTTACTCACAGATACTACCAAAGATCAACCTAGACGTGGTAAAGCAATGGTTTCCGTTACCCGGGGACTCTAAATTAATGAAATTTTACTATACTAATATTCAGTAGAGCATTCATTTTTATTTATTTATTTTTTTTTAATTTAATTTTATTTTTTTAAAGATTTTATTTATTTGAGAGAGAGAGAATGAGAGAGAGCACATGAGAGTGGGGAGGGTGAGAGGGAGAAGCAGTCTCCCTGCCGAGCAGGGAGCCCGATGCGGGACTCGATCCCGGGACTCCAGGATCACGACCTGAGCCGAAGGCAGTCGCTTAACCAACTGAGCCACCCAGGCGTCCTGAGCATTCATTTTTAGAAGGATGAAAATTTCTACTGTTCCATCCAGAAATTAAATTTTAATTAAAAAAATTTTTTTAATTCAACAAAGCTAATGGACTTTTGATACTTACACAGAACATAGAAATAGACCCTGAATGTACACAGACCTTACTAATAAAATAAAATCGCTTATTTCATGGCAGCCTGGAAGGAATAATTAAGTAATAAACGACAATAAGAAAAAACCACTTATCAGATAGTCTAGTCTTTATTGAAAGACTTACTTCAACTGTGGTTTACAGCTTTGGCTTACGTTGGCCAGTCATTTCAGCCTCTCACTGCCAGCAGACATAAAAACCACGTGGGAATGGTATGGGGGAAATACTAGTAGAGAGATTATCAGAGCAAAGAAGATGGCAGTCAGAAACACATCACCAAAATAAATCTCAAAATAATTAAGAAATAAACATTTTCTCGCATGCCAAAGAATCTCTGCTGTTTTTTTTAATGAACATGGAAAAGGCAACGATTCTTAGGCTTAAATTGATCAAGATAGCACTGACTTCATTTTGTTATAAAATAGACTTGAGTCTGTGTTAGCTTGACAGTTGTATTTTAAAATGGTGCATTTCATTTGGATAATTAGCTCTGTATTTTAAAAACCATTTAATATGAAATAACTTCCATTAACTGAACTGATCATGAACTCTTTCTTTCAGATTGAGACGAAGGACACTTCAGTAATAGGTTTTCTATGGCGCTAGAACTAGTTTGGATCATTTTATGAAATCCTAGAAAAGACAACCAGGAAAACATTGCAGCTACAGTTACCTGCTACTGCAATAAGCTACTTAATTTACTAGCAGACCAAAAAAGGCAAACTGAAAATATTGATATATTAAAAAAAAAAAAAGTCTTTAGTTGTTCAAGTTTCACATATATTCAAGAAATTTTAAACTAGGAGGCATAACTGATATAATTTGAGTGTTCTCCTTATAAAATATAAAGTAACTTTTCCATAACATCCCCCAAGAACACTAGCCATAAACAAAGAAATAAGGATAACTTTTATACAGAAGAGGGTCACAGAGGACTCCTGTGGTTTAAAACTAAAGTGCCGTAACAAATCTAACCCAAAGATGAATTTCAGACCCCGCAAATATTCATGTTTAATACATTTGACTGTTTTTCTAAATGGGGGAGGAAGAAAAATACCACAATTATCGTAGTCGCCAATTTATAAAACCATCATTATTTTAAAGCTAATTGTAAGACCTTAAACGTTTAAAAAATAATACTTTGTGGGTATTAATTGCATCTTACTACTTAACTGGTAAGGGTTTTCTCATTTTGGTGCCCAGACCTCAAAGCAACATTTTAAATACACTGCCTAAACATTTGCACCCTCTAGCTGTCAGAATTCGAATACATAGAATTTTTATCTTTTACATTCTTGTTAGGATAGAAATTTGAGGCAGGTTTTATCCACATAGCCTGAAAAATACCTCAGAAGCAAAATTCAGTCTTCTACACCTACCCAATTGGTTCATTTACAAACTCTGCACACATACAACTCAGCCTCTGATCAGGCTTGTCATCCCATGCACACTACCCACAAAGAAAAAAAGTTAAATAAAAATAAAAGCCACAACTCTGTGTACTACTTAAGCTGAATATCCAATTATAAATTGGTACATCAAACTGTCTAAATAAGATGTTTTAGCAATCTTGTTAAAAAAATTCTTGGGCAAAATATATCTAATTTTAAAAAACATCCCAAGATTTTTTTTAAAAACACTTGTACTATACAACTTATAGGAACCTTGGAATAGGTTTACAAGGTTTTAATCAAGGTATTTACATACCAAGTGATGTAAAGAAAGAAAAAAAAAAAGAAATCTGATTTCCAATGACATTTTAAAATGTACTAATGCATCAAAGATTTGTATGAAATTAAAATTAAGGCTTTTTCTGTATAGTAATTCGTATAATTTTAATTTTACATAGTAGCCAACCTTGGAAGTGTCAGTCTTAAACATTCTTATCAATCCACTGCATTCAATGCAGTGGAGTGTGTTAAGTGTTACTTCAAATAATTACATTGCTGCTACTTCTATGTTGAAGCATGCTTTTTAAACACTGTAGTTATTCAATATTTACAATGTATATCATTTAAACTTCATGTAAAAGCACAAGTATGACTGTCTGACTTTAATACAAACACCATACTTGGAATTTCCCCCCAAAATGAAATGTAATTTACTACAGTTTTAATAATCAACACTTTTTAAAGTTTTAAAAACGTCTTAATGTGGACCACCAACATTCGCTCAAGTAACTCAGATAATGCTGTTCCTTATTTAGTTTGTAAAATTTCTGTATCAGTCTGGCTTCAGTTTCTTTAGGCATAAAGTAAGTATTTCCTCCAAAGCGACTCCAAAATCATGCAATTTCTTCTCAATATCACACTTTTTTCTGCTGACTTCGAATGTGGTCCACCTCAGGGGAGGGGAGGGGAGTATCAAGGTTCAGGATGAACTTATATGTGATTCCCAGTTTTCCACGATCCTCCCTTTTTTTGCTCTTTTAAAAACACAGTGAGTTAAAATACTGAACAGCAAGATAAAAATGGAATAGTATCTAAGAATCAAAATGTATTACCCATTTCTCCTATTATATCAAAATTTGTAGTCAGAATTGTCTTTATTGACTTTATTTTAGTTTTTGTACACAAAGAAAAATCATGTTCATATCCATCATGAACAAAAACTTAAAAAGGCAGAACTAGAAGACATGTGTCCTTCACCAAAGCAAAGCTGTGCTAAAGGTTCCAAACATTTCAATTTTTAAAATAAATATTTTCATTTTCCGATGTCTACTTTCATGTCTTCAGAGTGTCACAGGAAACTGAAGCTATCATGAATTACAATTTTGTTTAGAGTCCCAGCTCACTGTGTTTGGTAACTTGCCATACCATATCCAGCTTGGTTAGGAGGAGGTATTACAGGGGGAGGAGCTTGTCCTTGGGGAGGCTGAGCACCAAATCCACCCATCCAAGCAGCAGAAGGCGATTGACTTGGGGAAAAAAAAAAAAACAACAAAATCTTGAGCAAACACAAAGAAAAAACTGTCCATATATTTATCCAAAATCAAGCAGAGCCCCATCATAGAATAGACAAGAAATCAACACAGCCACAACAAAGAGCAAAGAAATAAATGACACATCCATACATGTAGAATACATATCTGAACATTAGTCTTACATTTTTGTTAATATAATCACAACTTAGCACAATGACTTCTCTGAAGAACATCTCAAAACTGATTTTTAAAAAATGACGAATCACCTACCTATCATATATTGCACACATAGTACATCAATATAAGAAATTTAAAAATCACAAAATTCATGTTGGAAAGAGAAGGAAGAAGGAACCAGTAAAAATAAAGATCTGGGCTGGCCTGGGGGAAAAGGTGCAAAGGACCAACCCACTCTATGAACAAAGGAAAAAAAGCAAGCTACTTTGTACCACATAAATCTCTTAGACTTCTCACACAAGCCAACAGACACAAATCATTAAATTTCTAAGCATATCTAGACAAAGACCTTTTCCATGCAAAAATAAATGAGATAAGACAGATTAGAAATGTAAATGAAATTCTACCAACAGCTTACAGAGATAGAAGGACACACCAAATGTTACCCCAACCTCCCCTTTCACCTAGGTAATAAAGAGCAAATTTTTAGCACTATAAATCACTTTTCATAAGGTTTCTGTAACACTTAAAATGTCGAACAGCCTGATGAATTTACTTTAAATAGATTCTCCTAGAAAAACACACTCATAATTTCTTTTGTCACAACCGTATCGGTTTCTATACTGGAAAAACCCAAACAACTTACTCTACTCCAAATCCTTGTTGGTTCCACGGTTGCCCGTATACTCCATACGGCGGTACTTGCCACCCATTTGCCATGTACTGTCCGTACTGTTGTGGGTTTCCATAAACCTGGCTCCACTGCCCCCACTGACTATAGTCGACCTAGGAAAAAGCAAATTACCGTTTTAGGGAGTAAGTAAGAAACACAGTATTTGAAGAAAGTGGGAGACAAGGAAGAGAAAAACTAAGTAAGCACCCTTATGTGAATAGGACTCTGTTATTTATCATTGTCTAAGTTTATTGGGGTGGTGACACCTGTGGAAAGAAAGTATTAAGATTCAGTTAATACCGCAAAATAATCACTTTTGAAAAAGCATTAATAAAATAAACTGAAAGCAGCTATATGCTTTATTTTCTGTTTATTTTACAGAGTTTTTAAAGCTTCTATGTAGATATGTAAGATGGAAACCTTAAAAAGTGCTGTGAAAAATCGAATTACCTGTTGGAAGTTTTTAGTCATATCAGGAGATTCTTTACCCCAATAGCATTTAACAACATGTCCTTCAATTGTAGTGCCATTCACCGAAACAATGGCATGAGCAGCACTTTCGTGGGTTGAAAATCTAAAAGGGGAAGATAGGAGGATTTTGTCTTTTTTTTTTTTCTTTCAAAAGAACTTATACAGCAAATAACAGAAACTCAGTTTATAACTGTCAACTTGGTATTTTCCTAAAGTACATTATTATGTAGGTAGGTTAAAGTTCTATGTTGCAAAGAACTACTAAAATAACAAAGGCTGATACCTGAGGGGATCAAATAATGTAACTGAAAGGAATGGGTCAAACAGAAGAGTAACCTGTAGGTCGAATTTTACCTGACAAATGAATAGCCTTTCTCTGGAAAAACTCTTATTTCCATAATTTGTCCAAATGGTGAGAAAGTCTGTCTCATAAGCTGATCTGAGAAACAAAAACACACAAAATACTTAAGGCTCATGACACTGACACGAAGAGTGATAAAGCTCCTCAGAGAAGGGGAGGAGAAAACCACACGTTGTACCTGTTAACCCAGAGGCAATTCCTCCACAGTACACAGTACAATTTTTTGGACTTGACTGGTTTACTACATCTTCAAATCTCAACTGTTTAGTGTTATCTATATGCAGAAAGAAAAGAAAAACGTTGATTATACAGTAGTATAAAACAGATTACTATGTATGAAGATACACCTCATTGGGGGAGAAAATAGCATTTTTTTTCTTGATGCCATGGATTTGAACTATAAAATCACTGGTTCACAACTCCAAATATACTAACTGTCAAAGCCCAAATTATTATTAGACAATTAAATTTCAAGATGAAATGAGCCTTACAATGCTAATAAAATTTAAATTTTAAGAAATTAAGATTACACTACTTGATGATTTTGTGACGTATCCATAATTTCAACATACACACTAGACGTATCTTACTTTCTTGTGTACTTTTAGGTGCAGGTGGTTTACGTGTGGCCCAGTTGGTTCTGATCTGACGACCACCCAACCACTGACCTCCCATATGCACAATTGCATTTTCTGCATCCTACAGAGAAAAAAGAGAAAGAAAGACCAATTACAAACACAGAAAATTGTGGCATGTAAGACTCAGTAAAATGAAATAAAATGCTGGCACCGCTGGATCCAATAAATCTTACCAGTACCGGGAATGAATTCACTAAGCATCCTAAATAAACAAAACTGAACTAATACCACCAAAAAATGATCTGAACTCCAGTGATACGTCAAAACTATTTTTCTTTAAGCACCAAGGGAAACTGATCATAATTCAAATATGCAAGAAAAAAATTATAACCCCACTCATTACCAAAAAGAGGGAAAGTAAGAATCCCACAAGTATCTTAATTTAATGGCTGATCTGAAATGTAACTTTTACTGAAGGATACACGGAAACTCCCAATACTATGGTCTAAATTACCTATCCCCAAAATCTACATTCCAGTAGCAATGGATCAGGATTGTGACACAAGATTAAGAATTCATTTTAAGACAGAAGACTTCTCTATTAGGATTTAGAATGCTACCAATAAAAATTAGTTTAATTATCACAACTAATGTGAATTTGCAATGAATCTAAGCAAAGAAAGAGTATAGCTCCAACCTTTATCTTGCCACAATAAGATGTAGATAATTTAAGTCGCTAAAATTGGTCTAAAATGCTACTATCAAAGCCTACTTTATTATAATCTTATAGTTAATGCAAATGCTTAGACATTTTGGTACCTCTTTAAGAATACATGCAAAACTCATGATGAATTGTTTTAATTTTCATTTACATAATTTGGTGTAGTCATTAATATCCTAACTATAAAAGTATGGATGATAATTTAAAAGTTAAAACTGAGATTTTCATGGTTCAGACTAAATATAATTTAACTTCCCTCCAAATTCTGAGATTAGTTCATATGTCCTAATCTTGAGTTTGACTTCCAAAACATCTTACCTTCACCAATGCATAAATGCAACCATGATACTTTCTTATAATCAGCCTATCTTTTTCCAGCAATTTATTTCCAAGAAAACAATTACACTCTACTATTAAAACACACAAAATTACATAAAAGCTGTTGTAGGCAACATCTAAGAATATTCAAGATTCTGATTAACAACTAAATTTTGTATTAAATTTACACTGAGTTGAAAAGAACATACCAGTTTGTTATAAAAAGATACAAAACCATAGCCTTTGGATTTTCCAGTTGCCATGTCTTTAACTACTCGGGCATCCCTGTGAAAAGAAGCACAGCTAAATGAGGGAAGTAAGAGTCATCCTCAAAATAAAAACTAAAAGGAACCACACACACTGTATTGTGAGCATTTTTTTAAATAAAATTCCAGTTAGCCCTAATTAACTACTGCCATTCCTGAACTCTCCCTAACGCTTCTTTACCTGTTAGAAAAAAGCAGTAGGACAAAAACATGTAATAAACATGCAACCTAATCAAATAGCCTGCACTTTCTAAACTAAATGCTCAAATTTGAAGATTAATAGGAACAATAGTTTCCTTTTCTAATATTCTATTGGCTAGTGTCCTCTAAGGTTTACTGGTTCTATAAATTACTGTAACAATGCTAACTACTTTACCATGCAATCTCTAAATAGTTAAATGTCTTCTGCCTAGTGATACAAAATATATGAAATATTAAAAAATTGAAAAAGAGGTAAAAATAGGAATTAAAAAGGCATACATGGCCTGTTAACAGATTTCTTTATTTTTCTTGGTCAATTCTCTACCATCATTTTGGAGTTTGGGCAGCTGTAAATTTTGAAAAATTGACATTTTCAGAAATTTAAGAAAGGAGAATAAAAAACTAACAACAATGCTAAGCACACCAGTACGAAAACAACAAATTTACACAGAAATTTTAGTGAGTAAGTTAAAATGATTGGAAATATAGAACTCCACTGAATATAGAATGTTAAAATGTAAATACTAAAATATGTATATATAAATAATGTATAATAAGAATAAATAGAAATGAGAAAAAAATCTACAACTGAGTTCCAGTGTGCACAGTTCCTTGCAGTTAGCCTTCAAGATCCTGTCCATTCTTATGAGCAATTCTGCAAAATAACCAGAATGCTATTACTTTTAATTGTGACTTGGACTTTAGAAAAACTGCAGGTCTCAGGTATAAATAAAGATTGAAAAACAGCAACCTGTATTATTTTTTATACTGATTTTTAAAACAGTACTACTTACCACATTTAAAGATTAAAAAGCAAAGCAAGTATCAAAATAGAAAATTAATAATTAAATCTTTCTTTCAAATAAATCTACAGAACAACAAATTGTATACAGAAAAATGTTGTTCTTAGGTGAAACATATTCCTGTAAAGTAGTACTACAACGTTTCATTTAAATCTACAGGAAGTACATAAAATATACGGATTTTAATCAGAAAGATATATTGTGATAAACATTTTATAGAACTCATAAAACCACTTTTAATTTTCCAATATATTTGATCACAATAACATACAATGAGATTTGAGCATAAACTTTGTTAAAAATCAAACCACATTTGGGCCCTAACTAGCAGAATCAAATACCAGTAACAAAAAAACATCCACTAATTAATTCCACATTTATGGCTCAGACAACAAAACATTTTAGGATTATAATAGTACTACTTTTCAGCTAAAATATCAAAACACACTTATCATTATAATTAAACATGTACATTTCTAATTTAACCACAATATACCCAAGGATTTACCTACTTTTCCCAATTTATAAACTCTTCCTATGAAAGTTTAATACACAGTATACATCACATTCACTTTTGGTTAACCACCAAATTTTGAAAACATTTGACAGAAAGTTGGATTTTATTATAGGCTGTACCACCCAAACATATGCTTCAAAGATAACAAACGAATCACTTAAAAAATTTTCACATATTATACACAGGATTAGATGAAAACAAGACCCCAAAACATTGAAATGACATTAACATTTTCAACAACATCTACTAATCAAAAAACAAAACAAACCAACAAACAAACAAAAAATCACACTAACTAGGGAAAGAAAATCTTAATTCCAGTACAAGTTAATCATATCATACAATTTTGCCTATCACTACTGAGTACAGTATTGATTATGATACTTACGATATTTTACCAAAGGGGGCAAATGCTGATTTGATATCTTCTGTTGTAATTTCTGGACTCAAATCCCCAACAAACACATGGAAGTGATCTGAAATCAAAGCATTTGGTCATCAAATACTTAAAAAGCCAGCTACTAATAAGCCCTTTCAGGCAACACTAAGGGAAGAAAAACCCTATTTAAGCTCGTAGCGCTGCCAGGATAATTTCAGAACTCTTCCACAGTAAAATGCAGCAGGAGTACTTACTGGAAGTATCTTTTTTCTGGCTACTTGGTGTTGTTGCCCAGTTTACTTTGACCTCCTAAAAATAAAGATTATATTTAATACAATTATTAGGCATGTCATTATGAACCATAACACTTACCACTTATTAAATCATTTATCAAACAGGATAATTTTTGTAAAAACACTAGGCTGAATAAAGCGAAACCATCACTCAGCAGAGCTGAATATTTGTTTAAAAACTTGCTAAAAAGAATACAAGCTAAAAAAAAAACCCACACACAAGCTAATTCGACATGCAAAAATATATACTCATGAGGTGCCATCATTGTATTATCTTACCTTTCCCAAAATTTTTCTCCCATTCATAGCAGCTAATGCAGCAGCTGCATCTCTGTGTTCATAAAATTCCACAAAGCAATATGGGTCATTGCTTGTATGCTGCAAAACAGAAAATCCAACAGAAGAGTTGACCCTTCTGCTATCGGGTTGCTGAGAAGAAAATCCAGGAAAAAACATTACTGACAGCTAGGAATGTACAAGGTGAGATTGCATAAGCTTATGAAAGCCTAACACTTACAAAAATAAGATTTACAGCTACACCTGACTTTGCAGCTCAGAATACTGTTGTACTCAAATAGAACCATCACAGCAGTATAGAATCACGACTATCAGTATTAAAAGCAAAATAAAATACAGAATTCTGGTGAAATATGTTAAATATAAAATAGAAATTTATATTAGACCAAACAAAACCTTAAGGACCACTCCTTACCACTGCTCTTCTCTCTCCCAATATTATTTTCAAAAGGATGAATCCTATTTATGCCTCATAACCCTTCATAAACTATATCCCATGACAAAAAAAAAAAAAATACAGAAATGAACCAACTTTACAAACTTTACTTATGATTGAAACTAGGATGAGTACTGCATAGGAGGAGATGAGATTATGTACTCCTTTTCTGGATAAGGAATGAGAATAAAAACAGAAAATTTTCAAATTTATAACCAGCTGTTGAAATGAACTCCCCATCTTTCAAGCTATCCTAATGAACAGGAGATTCTACATACTTTGAATTTAGTCTTCAAAGACCAGAAAAATATGCTAGAAATCAAGAAAAGAACATCTGAAAATATGTCTGAATAAAATATTCCAAAACAAAGCTACAATTTTATATCACAAAAAAAAAAAACAATATAAGAAATCTTTATTAAATATATTCTACAATACTATACTTGACAGGAGGTGGCAAATAGACATTTATAAAGACAATTAGAAAGTACGACCTAAGTTATAGCAACTTTATAATCTAACAACCAAAACGGAAATGAATTTTATAAAACTCCAACCTGCACTGAAGAGCTACGCAACCATACAAATACATTTTTTGCATAAGGCTAAAAGCATTCATCACTGTTCAGTGTAAAATGCCCTAAAAAAAATAGTACTATTTTAAAATGTGGAATGCTAGTTGCACTTACAAGGGGTACAAAATACCAGATAAAATAAAGATCTTTTCAACAACCACTGTTTTTCATTCCAGGAAAGTTTTAGAAGAAAAATCCAAAATAAGACGTCTAAAACAATAGTGGCGAGGCAACCAGAAGGCATTTCCTTGAGGGAAAAAAAGTGTGATCATTAATACTGACAAGAAAACTATGGGCTCTCATACAAAATCCTACTGTAGCCATGTGAACTCTGTTCTTAAGAGATATAGAAAGGAAATGGAGAAAAGATTCCAAAGAAAAACATGCACTTAAATTCCTCTTGTGAAAGAGTTAACATTTACCAATGATATTCATCTGTAGAAAGGATTTAAAGGTAAAGAGCAAACTAAAACTATGCTAGTCAATTTTTCATTTTACTCCTATCTCTTCTGCCCTGATGGTCTGTACAGAAAACACTGGTAATTATAGCAAGACATACAGGGGTCCAATGGCAGATCCATGGTAACAATAGGCTTTAGTAAACTACCCTAACTCATGCAGACTGACTTCAAGTTTACCTAATAGTAAGAGGCCAACCCCATTCAATGTATGAACATATGTGTGCACACACACGTTCATATCACACCGCATTTCATGTAAGACACCACTGATTTTTGTCACAACCCAACTGTCAGAGAATTTTTTAGCCTTAAAATCGGTAACATAACATTATAGTATACAGAGAAAGCTAGAATCTAAGATAAACAATTATCTAAAGTAAAAAATCAACAAAACTAAGGGAAAAAAGCATTTTTCATATACTGAAATGGAATTTATGGAAAGGAAAATAAACACCTAGATATTCTGTACTAGAGTTCATACTCTTTGGAAGCTTCCCATTTATGCCACCAAGAGACACTCTAAACATCAACCATGTGCTTAACCGTAATAACTATTGTTACCAATTTTTGTTGGGTGACATAAATGTCAAGACAGAGAAATATGAGATTTTACAGCTATATACAAGTTTGAATGTAGGAGTTGTAGAATATGGATAAATTTTACAAATTCATTTCAAATCCTTCTCCCCACAAATGGCTGATTGTGCACACAAGTTTTAAAAAGAATACTATTAAAATAAATCTTTATCAAATGTTTCTCAAAAATTTTCTAGAGAACTCCCTCCACTTTCTCACATCCCATTCTCTCCTGAACCCACTCCAGTTGGCTTCCTACCCAACCAGGCCACTGAAACTTTGTGTTGAGCTCACCATTGACCCCTCTGCCACCTCTGTGATCTCTTTTCTGTCCTCACCTTGACTTTCAAGCAGAATTCAAAACAGCTAACGACTCCTCCCCTCCTTTAAATACTCCATTTTAGATTCCACACAGCCTCTTGGTTTTCTGGTTTTCTCAGTGGAGGATCTTTGAGAAGGCAGTTCTTCCCCCTTAATTCAAACTCTAAACGTCACCCTAAGTGTTGAGATGCTCCAGCGCTTAGACCTAGACCACTCTACTCCTCTCTATCAGCACTCTCTTTAGATCAAGGAACTAGATCTCATCTAGTCCCATAGGTTCAAATACCACTGCAAGCTGCTATCATCAGCACTCGTCTCTCAGTTTATCCAACTGCTTACATATAATGTTCCTTTGGATGTCTAATGCACACCTTAACACTGCCAAAACAGAACTCCTAATTCCCAGCACTCCCCCCATCCATCCCACACCTCCCTTGGTCATGCCCATTTGAGCGAATAAATAGCATTACCATCTATACAACTACAAACAAGAATCTCTGCGTCTTTCCTGATGTCTTCCTTTCCCTTATGTCCCCCAGCCAATCCAGTCCTATGGATTCCACCTCTAAATTATATCCCAAACTTACCTATTTCTATCTCTCCACCTACCAATCTAAAAAACAAGCCCCCATCATCTCTTACCTAGACTAGTAAAATAAACCCAGCTGCTTTCCTTCCTTCCATTCCTGCCCCCTACAATCCATTCTCCACAACAGTCTCCAAATAATCTCAAAAATGCAAATCAGAGAGTGCCTTATTACTCTGCTTAAAACTCCCACCACAACCAGAGTAAAATCCAAACTGTGTGTCAGGACCCACACTTCCCTAGGTGATTCTGAACCCTGCCTGCCTGCCTCTTTACACTCATTTTCCACCACTTCCCTCCTCTCCCCAGGCTCCAGCCATCCTGGTCTTTGGTTCCATGAACTCACCAAGCTCATTACCAACTCAACAGCCTTTGTATATGCCATTCCCTCTGCCTCCAACTCTTAACATAGATGGCGCCATCTTGTTATTCCTGTCTCAGATCAAAGAGGTGACATCTTCCCCTCAACACCCAACCTATATAAACACCAACCCTCCAATCCCCATCATAGAGCTGCTTTATTCTCTCCATAGCTCTTATCCCTATCTGCAATTATCTTGTCTGTTAACAATATTCTCAATAGTATGTAAACTCATGGGGAGTCTCCTCCCTTTCGCTCTCCACTATGTCCTCAGAGCTCTCAAGAGTGCCTAGCACAAAGTAAATTTTTGATGAATGAAAGAATGAATCAATGAATAATCAGAGAGGAAGGAAAGAAGAGGTACTGGAACAGAATAAGGACTATTCTTAGTTAGAAAAGAAGATCAAAAGGCCAATTTGCTTTATGGGTTTTTCATGGTTCCCCTCGCAGGGTATAACACAAACTCCTTAGCACAGCTCCGGCCCCTGCCGGACACTGGTGCCTCATATCCTGGCATCTTTTATGATTAATCCCATTCGGAACACCAACCGCACTATGGTCTCTACCTTCCCACTTCCTCTCATGGGCACTCCTGCTCACTCTGTCTACCAGACTGGATCAACATTCTTCTCTCTTCTGGGATCCCTTCTTCCTCAGATTCCACTACTCTCCTTCAGTTTCAGCCTAGACGCTGACTCCTGCAATAAAGCCTCCCCTGACCCGAGACAGTCCTGGACCTCTGTGCTCCCATAGCACTTGACGCTGCCTGCTTCCACGGCACTTATCATCCTCTGTCATTTGTGCCTGTTAACTCCTCTGTCTCCCTCATTAGGCTGTAGAATTCTACGGTGCTAAGAACTGTCTTATTCAGCAGTGTATCTCTAGCACTTACAGGAACAGCTGGTACATAGTAAAGTCTAAGAAGTGCATGGATGAATAAAGAAAAAGGAAGAAGAGAACGAACTGAAACAAATCTTTGGGCTTGTATAGGAGAGTATAAAGGGGCATGCAAGGTTACACTGATTTCTTCTTTATAAAATGTTTGGAGAGTATAAAGAGAAAGTTTCCTTTGCAAAAAGGAAAATAAAATGATTGCCCTACCAATTTAAGTCCAGTCTATGCAGAGCTGCTGTTATTAGTATTTATTAGAGGTACACAAGGTGCATGGTGCTGCACTATGCACATAAGAACCTAATGTTCTTTTACTACACCAATTCCTAAACTTTAAATGTCTATCATCTGAATCAGGAACATTCTTATTAGAATTGTATGAAATATTATATAGTTTTTCAACACTCTGAGATAAGCGCTAACAATTTTTTACAAGCAGAATCACTTGAAGGTAACTATATCCTGAAGAATGACCATGTGAGAGTAACAGAACACAAACTTTGTCCTCTCAAATAAAACTCCGTTCCAAACCTAGTCTATCTGCCAAATCAGTAAGTCAACACAACAAACATGAATCTCTCCATCAGAATAACTTGAGGCATAAAATGATATTCTAAAATGATACTAATCAACTCATGTATCTCACAACATTAAACATCACGCTGTCAGCACATGGAACTGGGAAGACCTTACCTCTGTTATCATTTTACAGCTTTTACAGGGTCCAATCTGACTGAATAACTGAAGTATAAGGACTTCTGTCACATCTCTGGAGAGGTTACCTACGTATCTGTTCAAGAAGAAAAAGAATACATTATCAGCAATTTCCCTTCAGCTCTGGTTCTAATGTATTACCACTTAAGTACCTTTTATTTCATTTTAACTTCCTCTGTCTTCAATAAAATTTTTTCCAATTAAGCCTAATCCTATGCAAGTAAAATTAACCCTTAGTTAGGAAAGCAGCAAATGTTCTTACGTACTAAATTAGGCCACTAAAGTAACACTTCAAACATTTGTGATAAAGAAGAAATCAATGTGACCTTGCATGCCCCAAAAGCATTATTATTATTCTGTATCCTACATATCATTGCCTCATCTTATTTATTAGAATAAAAATAATAAAATTTAAACCAACCTCCAGATAACTATAATTTCTGGATGTAAAACACAATTCAAAATAGTGTGTGTGTGACACACACACGAATACCACCAAAAATACTGATTAATTATAACACCTGATCAATAAAGAGACATTAGACATAAGGCGAGTTTATCTTAGACCCCCAACAAAAACAATTACATGAATAAAGAAGAGAATAAGAGTATAGTTAGCAAAACACACAGAGATTGGAAGCTTTTGTTTTGTCTTGCTAAACAAGATTTATTGATGATATATCTTCATTGTTTTGTTTTAGGAACGCAGGGCAAAATAATAAAATTTCCTAGTCTAAAATACATCAGAATCAACAAAATACATCATTATATAGATAAAAAAGCAAATACAAGGATGTCTTCAGAATTTCAGAGAAAATTTAAGACAAATCTAGGTATGCTTTTCACTATGCCTATTTAAAGATTTGGAATTATTTTTTTAAATTACATATTGACTATATATATTCTGTATTAAGAAATTCAGAATACAGATAAACTCAAAAGAGAAGAACACCACCGCCCAGAAATGACCACCTGGTTTCCCTTGTCCCATGGATTTATATTAATTTAGCTTAATAAACTGCCAAACTTTTAAGTCTTTCTGGTACTCAGTGTATTAATTCCTAAAACTCACATTTGTTGTGAACAACCTCAAGAACCAAACAATATTTATAAAATTTAACATAGCTTCTCCTGGAAATTAAAAAGACGTAAGTTTTCTTTTCCTAATGATAACATATAACATCTGGAAACTGAGTACTGAGACCAAAATAAGCCTTGCATCTATGGTTACCATATTAAATACATAACTGCTTTAAGCTGGAACATTCTGAAAGGGAAAAATAAACCAAGAAAGGTAAAGTGTAAAAAAATTATCTGATGAAGAATGAGTAGCAATTTCCCAGTTCAGCTAAGAATTTCATTGCAATGGGCACTAATATCTACATAGTACTAAAACTGAACCCTAAGTCCAACATTACTTAAATAGAAGACTAAACCAGTGACAAACAGTCCATCTTTTTCGTATAATTAAAGTAGAGCAGACCCATCGGTAGGCCACAGAATGACACACTTTTTCCAGCAGTAGCAAAAGGTTATAGGATTATAAGCTCGCCAGACAACTGCCTGTCCCTTTTTAACTCAGAGGGATTTGTGTGCCTGTATCCAGGGAAAAATTTCTTTTTGTACAAGGTAGAACTATCTATAAAGTAAATGAACACTGGGCTCCTAAATGTTATATTCATCTAGCCTAAAGTGCTAGTTAGCTCACCTCTAAGAGAACAGAAGAGGAATGGATAAACTGATTTTCACGTATTGACACTAATAACAAAGTCAAAATAGAACACCACTTCTATATAATAAAATTTAAATTAATAGTTTTAAATTTGCATTACTGTTTAAACATTGATTTGTTCAGAAAAAAACTGCATGGGCATTAATTACCTTCCACATCTAACAGTCACAATTAAAGTTGTTACTGTTTAATAGGACCTTTATTCCAAGTCAACCTTTTTTGAGTGAGCTATACATTTTGGAGAATTTCTAGAGGCACATTTAGATAAAGTAATTTACATTTCAAGCACTGATGCCAAAGAGCAAAATGGTAATCTAAGTTTAGAATGTCATGAAATACAAAAATCCAGTTTTAAGGTTTCCTATTTTTCAAATATCTCCACTAAAAGTTCAGTGGTAAAGCAGCAAACTAAATTCCAAAGCTAATATAAAAAAGGCCTTCCATAACAACACACAGAGCTATCTTAATTTACCAGGATAAAAAGGATATAATTCACCATATAATTTCACCTAAATGTTACCCAAATCTGACTGCCTTTTCCTTTACTCGAGTTCAGTAATTCATTCACTTGCATGTGTCTCCATCCTTCATAATATTCAATAGAGAAACTTCTTATAGCTTTAAAAGTACTGTACGGCACAACTTAAGTACCTTACATTACCATAAAATTATGTCCCAAAATAAATACTAACAAAAATATTTAAGGAAGATGTTCAACACCTGACCTGGAAAGAACATCATCTCTTGGCAGTACCCTGAAGTGTATTTTCTCTTTCTAAATTATAGTGTCTATGCTTCACTCTTTCTCTTCTGAAGTAGTCAATATATTCTAAAGTTCCAAGTGCTTAAGTATAAAATTTCTACTTGAAGAACATACAAAATAGCAGAAAAAGACAAATAGCTTAAATTCTTGTATTAAGAGGTCAATTCAAAGAGTAAACACTTAGGAAATTCTAAAACAATTTTTTACTCAAGGAAAAAAAAGGCATACCTTAGGTCTATTTTGTCTTCTATGAACAGGAACTGTAGGAACTAAAGCATTAAAAATGGAAAATGATGCTTTTATCCCTAGCGTAAGGGTTAAAATCTAATTTGAGACTAGAAACTTGGCAGTTTCACAGTAGGCAAAAGTTCACATTGCCAAACTACTTCCTATGTCCAACTGGGCAGAATTTTAAGTTAGGAACATCATGCCTTTCGGAAGACTAATCAAGCTTTTTCAACACTGAATGTACTCTCATTCAAAAGAATAGCCCTACCAAGGTTGAAATTAATTACATGCACTTTTGCACAAGATACTATGGCTAAATTTCCATTAAGTCACATTTTTGCTTTTGTTCTTGACGAGTTCCTATGTAAGAGGAGATTTTATAACAATATCCTTCAATGGGCCTCCAATGAACTGATCAATTTGTCAGTATTTCATTTTACGAAGGAGGCAAGGTGGAGGAAAGATACAGGGTGGGTATAAGTGAATTGACCACCTACATAAGGGATATCGACACACATACACACACATTTTAAAGAAACAGAGAATATGATTAAGTTGGCCGAGGTGCTTAATTACAGCCACAATATAGCCAAATCCATCATATAGCTAGTCAATTTTATAACGGGATCTAACAGTTTCTTCTGCTATTGCCCTCCGATGTTCAGATTATATTCTAAATCACTGCCTTATTTCCTCCTTTTGACAGCCTCGATCAGAAAGAAAGAACAGCCTTAAAGGATGGCATTGCATAACATGGTGTAATCCCAGATCCACAATTCCTACTCATTTTGAGGCATCAGATAAATTAAGAAAGTTAATTAAACTACAATAGAACACCACCATAATTTAATGTTGTATTATAGATTCAGATATACCATGGATCAAATCTCTGCTCTCAAAAGCTACCCACAAGTTTGAAATGTGGGTCCCACAAGGTCGGTGTCAGGCAGTTTAGTTCCAACACCAGATTACACAGCATGATCTCGTTTGTTTTTTTTAGATCACAAGTTATTGAATACATATTACCCCAAAATAAATGTCAAATAAGAACGAAGAACATCAGAAAACAGACCTTTAAAGGATAAATAAACTTTAGGCTCAACATCAAAGCAATTCTATACCACTTTAAATACCATCAAATAAATTAGTAATACTGTAGGTAATGAATATTTAAAAACCTACCTAGGCTATAAACACCATATTGTTTTCTGATGATAGAACCATATGTCTTAGCTTGTGTGTGTCTGCAGGAAAAAAACCTCACTAGTAACACACAGGCATTTTAAGGAAACAGTTTAAGATAAGCTTTGTTAAGAGTACATTCTTTTAAAACATACTAGCCACGTGAAAACCTAACCCACAGATCACAATGTAAAATAAAAGGATCTCCATAAACAAAATAAAACCCTACTAGATGTCAACCTCTAAAGTCATGTTCAAAGTTTTTGTCATGTTACTTATACCTAAAAGAACCCTTTGAGGGGAATTATGTAAAATGAACGCTTAGAAAAAACTATACTATGCATTATTTTAATTAAAATCTGACCAAGAAATCCCAATTCTGAAACATTTGCTTTTATCTCAAAATTCCACATTCGAAGGTTTTAAAAAAATATATAAAAATCAACAGACCACACCATGTACGACAGTCATGTCTGCTCATAATTTTACATTAATCAGGACTTAAAAAAAACAAACTTAATACTAATTCAATGAAAAGAAGTATAATCATTGTAAAATATTTGAGTACCTCTTGTCTTCCAGGCAGTGAACTAAGTGCTGCAGGGGTAAGACCTAGGAAGATGTAGCAGTCCTTGTCTAAAAAAAAACCCTTCCCATAGAGAAGAGTGGGAGAAGGAAAAAGGAAGACAGAATAGTAAACATGTACTGACATACAGGTACAACTAAGCTCAAGATGTTTCTTTACTCACATGTACACATGTCACATTCTTAGACAACTGTAAACGTAGACAACTTAAGTGTATTTCAGAGAAAGAACAGGAGATTGGAGAAAGTAGAGGTTAAGAAATAAGTGACAAAGTTAGCTCATTAGTCTACTGGAGAAGGGTCCAAGGTCTGATGGAGATAAAGATAAGGCAAATGCAAAGATAGTTATATGAATTAAAGGTAGTGAAATGGCATATTATTTAGCCCGACAAAACCAGTAATTCCTCTTCTTAAGGAACAAATACAATTAATGAGAAAGGTACCATGAGAATTTACCAATTATTCAGTAGCTTTTATGATGCCATGATGACATTTCAGATGTTTAGATACAATGTAACTTTTATCTTTGTTAAATACATGCTAGCTAGGCACTAAATTCAACTTTCCCAGATGCTTCCATCAAAGCACACATGGCTAACTATCAAGCCTTGGCTTCAACAGATCTTAAAGGGCAAATTTCAAATTGTCCCAATTCTCTCTTTTTGGGGAAAAAAAAGTTAGTAATGGGAGACAGCACAAAATATAAAAATTCTCCAAAACAGACTTTTCACTGAAACATTTGATGTGCTTAAGTTGGCCTCAAATTCTCAAAACAGGATGGCAAATACTTTAGTGAGACATTAGAAAAATAGGGATACAACGAGTGCAAGCCCACCCCCCACCCTCCCCAAAACGAAACAAAAAAACCAAACCTGTATCAATATTGTAAATAGGTATCTATCTTCTTTACTGAGCGGACTTTCTTTGGTAGAAGAGATGAGAAGCTAGTCAAACTTCCTGAGTACCCATCCACCTTCATCTATTCCCCAAAAAGTAATTTCCAACAGATAGCAGAGCCAAGTGGCCTATGATCATATCAATACCAGGCAGAGGCAAGAGAAAACAAAGCAGCGATCTGACTCCCCGTACTCGAGGTAGGTGTGCTGAGCTTCCAAAGGCTAGGAAAACCGAAGGGGGCCAACTTAAACATTTAATGAGAAGTTACTCAGACTTTTTTTAAAAATGCAGGAAAAAGAAAGGAGTGCCACACTATCTGGAAAGGAATGCAAATGCTGAGTCATCACTCTTCATTAGGAAAGAAAGGAAAACTCGAATAAGCGGTTGGAAGATGGAAATTCATTCATTAGATCGGGCTTCAGGTAAAAAGCAACAGCAAGATGGAAGAAAAGGTGCTCAGAAGACACACATCGAATAGTGAACAGACATCACTTTATCCAATTCTGAAGGTCTCAAAGCACAAACAGATTAGGAGGAGGTAACACCAAAAGAGCAAAAGCAGTTTAACAACTGGTTGTCAGTTTAGCGTAGGTAGCGCTCAAAGTAAACTTCCAAGAAGGAAAAGATGCTCCGGCGGCAAGAGGCATCCCTTTTGCACTTCAAAAGTAGCGGGCGCTTGGCGAGTGTCTCTGACAGCGTGGGCGGGGGCACGTGGGACAGAAAGAGAGAAGGGGCTTGAGTGGAGGAAGAGTGTCCAGTTTCCTCGGAGAGCTTAGCTTGGGAGAAGAGCTGGGAGCGATGGAGCTGGGGACTTGCAGAGCGAGCGCGCTAATTCCTCGGGGCCCGCGGGGCACGAGGCTGCGGTCCCACCCCCAGTCCCACCCCCACCCAGGCCCTGCCCCCGTGGGGACCGGCAGCTCCCGGCCCAGTCCAGGGCCCCCACAGCAGAGGGGGAGCAGGAGCTCTCTCGGGCCTGACAGCCCCAGCCGTGCAGAAAGCCGGCCTAGGGAGGGTGTGCAAAGAAGGGCGCGAGAGGAAAAGGTCGAAACAAACCCCAGACCCCAGGAAGTGACTGTGTTTGGGGGAAGGGAGGGCTTCCTTCCCAAGGAAAAGGGGACAGAAGAGAAATGCACTCCGCGTCCGCCACCCCGGCCAGGGAGCCGCCGTAAGTCCCAGCTTCGGCCCCGCTCTCCTGCTCCCTCCCTCAGCGTCCCGCGGTGCCCGGGCCTCTCGGCGCCTGGCAACCCCCGTCTCGGGTACTCACAGAGTCCGGGGCTGCCCGTCGTCTTCCATCATGGTGGGTGCGACGGAGCGATCCCGGGACAAGGGGGAGGGCAGGGCTGGGGAGGGGAGGGGGTGGGGAGGAAGGGGAGGGGGGCTCCGGGCACCAGCTGGGGACAGAGGAAAAGCCACCGAACCCTGCTCTCGGGCTCTCTCCCCCCAGCCCGCTCCGGACACTGCGCTCCAACCAGGAGGAGCAGGAGGAGGAGGAGGATGAACAAAATGGCCACCGCCACCAGCCAGGCAGGAAACGGGGCAGAGCGCAGGCGCGGCCCGCCAGGTCACCGCTCAGGCCAGCCGCGACGGCCTGTAAAGGGAATAACTGAGTGGGGAGAAAAACAGGCCGCTAAGGAAACCCTGTGCCCAGTCCCGACGAATCACGTCGTCGCTGAGTGCCTGCTGGCCGGCTGAAGCCCAGCCAGTTCAAGAAGAGATCGAGTGAAAAGGGAACCGCCGTGAAGCTGAAGGTTCTGGGAATTGTGGTCCTGGAAATGAGAGAGGGAAGCACTTCTCCAGAGGACTTCTGGGAACTGTAGTCCACAGGAGACGGCCGGCGCCCGCGACGCGCCGGGTCACGAAGAAGAGACTTCTGGGTAGTGTAGTCATACGTGAGGACGTGCGGCCACCAGGAAGTCGGCGTGCTGGAAGGAGAAGCAGAGAATAAAAGCGACGTTGAAAGGCGGGGAGACGGGACGGAAAAAACGCTGACCGGGAAGTAAACTACAAGTCCCAGAGTGCCTCGCGCTGGGGGCTGTCCTAGGACTGCTCGGAGCATTTTAAGGCTCTTCAGTTGGCTCAGCTTGTGCTACCGCTCCGCCTCCGTCCAGCCTGAGAGCGGTTTCTTTAATTGCGTCTGAATCCCTGCTTTGGCTCCGCGTGGTGTCGGAGTCAGCAGGCGTTTCGAGCCGTCCCCTATTCATCAAAACAGCCGACCCGTGGTCATCAACCGCCGACCCGCGCGACGGGCTGGAGGGGCTGTGGTGGACGTCGGGTCCGGGCTGAGCTGGGAGCTGCGCTCGCTGGGTCCCGGCGGGCTTCCTAAGGTCCGGCCTTGTCTTTTGGGCGTGTTTTCCCGCAAATAGGTATTGCTGGCCTAGGTAGGCTGTTTGTAGATTGCTTTGTAAGTTTCAAAGGTTTCCCCGTCCGTTATCTCGTCGGATAAGATGGTAAGTAGAGCAGTCCTCCATTAAAATGACTCATCGAGTCAGTGTAAGGTGCAGTGATAATGCCCTCCAACCCCTTATTTAATTCTTGGAGTGGAAAAAATCTTTGGGCTGAGACGTGCAGACTTAAGGTTGTGTTTGCAGATATCCATCATGTAGACGGGAAATGAAGTCTTGCTTGAGAATGGAGGGAGCCGTTTTCAAACTGCTTCTGTAACCCTGTAGAATTCCACCCCCCCACACAACAGTTCATGGTGCGCTTACATCCCCTCCCCCCAGCATCTTGAGTTTGTACCACCTCCTAGTGAAGGGTGGTGATAAAGATTTTTCAGCCTGTTGCCCGACCTTAAAGGTCCCAGTTAAACAGTGCCTTAAGAGTTGGCTCTGCCAACATGTACTGAGGGGGAGGGGGATTTGAACCTGGAAAGCTTCATAGACTCCATGGCAAGGAAGTTGAACCCCTTAAGAGTCCGTGGGAGTAGCAAAAGGGCGCAGAGACCAGGATCCAGGGTTAAAGTATATACTTATTTGGGGAGGGAGGAGAGGGGAAGGCATGGCGAAGGGGTCTTGAGAGTTGAGAGAGGTGGGCTTAAAGAATTGTATTGTGAAGGATTTGAGGAGTTGAGCTTTGTCTTTGAAGCAGTGAGGAGTTACTCAAGGGTGTTTGCTTTTATTGGACTTATGTATAGAACTGGGTTTGTCATAATCCAGTCAATCATTGATCCATGCCTAGCCCACTGTATTAGTTTCCTATTACTGCTGTAACAAGCTTAGTGCCTTAAAATAGTAGGAATTTATTATCTTACAATTCTGAAGGTCAGAAGTCAAAAATCAGTTTCACTAGGCCAACATCAAGGTATTGGCAGGCTGGTTCTTGCTGAAGTCTAGGGGAGGAATGGGTTCCTTGCCTTTTCCAGCTTCTCGAGGCTGCCAGCATTCCTTGACTTTTGGCCTTACCCACCATCTTCAGAAACAGCATAGCAACTTCTTTCCTCTCTGACCTCTGCTTCTATCCTGACCCCCCTTTCTGACTGATCTTCCTGCCTCCCTCTCACCTACAAGGACCCTTTGTGTTTACACTGGGCCAAGGATAATCTCCCCAACTCAACACCTTTAATCACATCAGCAAAGTCCCTTTCCCCCCCGTAACCACATTTACCGATTCTGGGGATTAGGACATGGACATCTTTGCTAGGCCATTATTCAGCCAACCACGCACAACCCACCTTTATTAATTTAGTTGCTTTCAATGTAATAATAGCTGTGAACTCTACCCTAAAAAAAAGTTATAATGACAATTTACAACCAAATGTATGGTTTGCCTCCCCCAGCCCCATACTAAGTGATCCTCTTGCCTCCCCTCACATGGGGTGAATATAATCACAAATCTTCACCAATTCTTGTTCTCCTTTTTATGAATTTTTATTCCATATACGTATTTATACAGAATACAACTACATATATATATATGAAGTGTGTATGCAACGTATTTTTAATTGTTTTTAATATAGTAAAAAAGAGTATGCTCCCCCCAAAAGAAAGAGAATATGCCCACTACACACCTGTTAGAATGGCTAAACTCCAGAACACTGACACCACCAAATGCGGGCAAGGATGTAAGGCTACAGGCACTCTCATTCATTGCTGGTGGGGGTGCAAAATGGTACAACCACCTTGGAATACATTTTGGTAGTTTTTTACAAAGCTAAACCTAGCTCCTAGGTATTTACCCAAATAAGTTGAAAACTTAAGTCCACACAAAAACCTGCACATGAATATTTACAGCAGTTTTATTCATAATTGCAAAAAATTGGAAGCAACTAAGATGTCTTCCAATAAGTGAATGGATAAACTGTGATATATTCAGATAATGGAATATTATTCAGTGAAAAAAAAAAAAAAGCTATCAAGCCAAAAAAGCCCATGGAAGAATCTTAAATGCATATTCCTAAGTGAAAGAAACCAGTCTGAAAGGGCCACATACTGTGTGATTCCAACTATGTGCCATTCTGGAAAATGTGTAACGGTGGAGACTAAAAAGATGTATGGTTGCCAGGGGCAGTGGAGGGAAGAGGAACGGGTAGAGCACAGAGCATTTTTACTGTGGTGTAACTATTCTGTATGATACTGTTTTGTGGATCCCATAGAACTGTACAGCTCAAAGAGTGAATCCTAATGTAAACTGTGGGGACTTTAGTAAATAATAATGTATCAATATTGGTTCATCAGTTGCAACAAACATACCACATAAATGCAAGACAGTAATATTACGGAAACTGTATGCTGTGGTGGGGGAGAGGGTGTACTGGAACTTTGTACTTTAGGCACAGTTTTTCTGTAAACCTAAAACTGCTCTAAAAAAATAAAGTCTGGGGGCGCCTGGGTGGCTCAGTCGATTAAGCGTCTGCCTTAGGCTCAGGTCCCGATCCCAGGGTCCTGGGATCGAGCCCAGCATCGGGCTCCCTGCTCAGCAGGGAGTCTGCTTCTCCCTCTCCCTCTGCCTCTCCCCCCGCTTGTGCTCTCTCTGTCTCTCAAATAAATAAAATCTTGAAAAAAAATAAAGTCTGTTACAAAGGAAAAAATGTGCTTTTGTATCCTTGTGAGATTTTTTTCGCCTAATGTAAGATTCAGCCATATTTTATGTGTTTGGCTTATTCATGTTCACTATTGTATGATTTCCAGTATGTGAATATACCACACTTTGATTTCTCATTGATGGACATTTGGGTTACTCCTGGGTTTTTACTATTATGAACAGTGCTACTATGAACATACTTGTGCGTGTCTCCTATAATATAGATAGCTTTCTTTGGTCTGTTTGGGTTTATACCTAAAGTAGAATTGTTGGGTTACAGGGAATGTGAATATTCAATTTTAAAAGATAATGTCAAATATTTTTTCCAAAGTAGGTACACTGATTTACACTCCCAGTAGCATTCTGTAGGAGGTCTTATGACTGGATCCATGTCTTCTTCAACACCTGCTTTTGTTAGACTTTTTACATTTCTTTCAATCTAAGTGTGAGCTCAGTGTGGTCTTAATTTGCATTTACCTAATCACTTAAGACTGAACATCTCTCCATATTTTATTAGCCATATGTGTTTCCTCTTCTGAATAATGCCTGTTGATATCTTTTGCCTGTTTTTCTATGAGGTTATATGTGCTTTTCTCCTTGACTTTTATGAATTCTCATGCTAATTTTTTCTCACTTACTGATACTGCAAATATCTTCTCCCAGTTTGTAAATTGTTTTTTTCTCTTTATAAATGCCTTTAAAATGGTCAAATCTATCGTGTGTATGTGTGTGTCTTATTTAAGAAATATTTCCCCACCTTAAGCCTAAATTATAGACTTCAGAGAAGCTCATCCATGGAGTCTACTAAAATTTTTTAAACTTCGTATTTGACATTTAAGTCATTAATCCACCTGGAATTTTATATACATGTAGAGTAGGGATCCAATTTCACGTTTTTCCATATGGATAACCATTATTTTTTTTTAAGATTTTATTTATTAGCACAAGTGGGGCGAGGGGCAGAGGGAGAAGCAGACTCCCTGCCGAGCAGGGAGCCTGACGACATGGGGCTCCATCCCAGGACCCTGAGATCATGACCTGAGCAGAAGGCAGACGCTTAACCAACCGAGCCACCCGGGCACCCAGATAACAATTATTTTTTAACTCCAATTATTGAATAGCTCTCCCCTGCCCCCAGTTAATGGGACATGCTCCCTCTGTGTAGTTTGGGTCCTCTAAGGAAACACCAAAATGGGATTAGATATGCAAGAGATGCACCGAGGGAAACTTGTGACGAATGGAAGGAGGAGAGAACTGGAATAGGCCAGGACTCCCACAACAGAGGTTGGACACTTGTCAAAGGAGAGAAGGAAGGAAGGATTGGCTAGCAATTGCCTCAGACATTGTATGACTCAAAGAAAGTCTTGGCTAGGCAAACAGGGCGTCCCAGGGTGAAGAGTGACCCTTAGAAAAATACTGTTCTGAGCAGAAATGGCCCAGCTCCAAGAATTCCGCCATCTCAGTGACAGGCTGAAAGCAGCCCTGGGAGACAGCATGGCGTCTGTGTGAATGCCGCACTGGACGTGAAGTTGCTGTCTTCTGTCCTGGAGAAGACCTGGAAGCTATGCACTAACTACACTCCTTGCAGCAGCTTCTCTTGCAGGGAGGTCTGAGCCGGGCACCTTCTTGGCCACCAGAGGTTCCTGTTTGCACGGCTTCGTTCCTGGGCTGTTATTCCACTGGCCAACTTCTCTATGCCTGTGCCATTTACAGAAAGAGATCCTCCGAATACGTTCTAATGCTGGTGGGCTTAGTCACTTCTTTAGAACTGTCCTTGTTGCTC